GTCCACTTGGCTTGTCCACTGCTATCATTCCTCTCTGTCTTGTGGCTAGTCTTTGTTTTGTACCTATTTTTATGTTTGCTTCTAAAGTGTGTGTCTTATAGATACTTCAATTTACAGTTGAAGCTTTTTTTTTAATTTTTAAATCCAGCCTTACAATCTTTGTATTTTTTTTTTCTGGGTGCTAGAGACTTAGTCCAATGCCGAATGCTTGTTAGACAAGTACTCTACCACAGAGTTAAACCTCAGACCTGAGAGCTGAACAGTAACTCTGCTATTCACAAACTTCCATAGCTATGAAAGTTAGTCCCTTGCTGGGATAAGATGGGACAAGGTGGCTTTAAAAGGTGCCACGGGTGGCCTTCCAATGAGGGCAGTGGTTAGGACCGTGCCTGCTTATGCTACTCTGTTGTGGGGCTTAGTGCTCACAGTGAGAAGCCTGGAAGCCATCCTAAAGATCCCACCTGAATATTCTGCTGGATTCCCCTTCTTAGAAGCTTGTCAGAGTCCCCAAAGAAGAGTTGTTAGCAAACTTGTAAGTAAAGAGGGGACGTGAAAAAAGATGAAGATAATTAGAATGCAAGTCAATGAAACTTAAGGGAATGTAGAGAAAGTGGGCAAGGGAATATTGACTAAGACACTGTGAGGAAGCTGGGTGTGGAGACACATGCCTTTAGTCTCAGCACTCTGTAGCCAGAAGGAGGTGGATCTCTGAGTTCAAGGCCAGCCTGGTCTACAGAGTGAGTTCCAGGACAGCCAGGGCCACACAGAAAGACCTTGTTCCCATCACCACCAAAAGAAATTGTTAGGGAAAATGATTTTCAGGGTAGAATTCATACTTATATATATGACTCATTTTTTCAAGGAAAATGAGGAACTTAAAACCACTCTTAATTTGTACCCCATTTTTCATATACACTAGTGTAACTTTTCCAAATGTAATCAGTCACCAGGTCCCTTAGGGCACTGTCTGTCTCACGTTTCTAAGAGTGTGCACTGAGACAATTGATAGGCACATGAAGGATGCCCACAGTAGCCACCTTCATTTCCATACTTACATACATTTTTTTATTTCTTCATGAATTGAAGTATGATATTGTTCTGTAAAAGAGAGATAGAATTGGTTGTCCAGAATTGGAAAATTGACAAGACTACAAATAAGACTGGAACTTGGAAGGGGTTTAGCCTTTTTCTTAGATGCCTGTTTGAGGGTGGCACTAACTATGGTAGAAAATCCCTGGCATAAAATGGATTGGTATCGAGGAAAACATGAGAGTATAATTCTGGATTTAGGAAAACATGGGAGAGCATAATTCTGGAAAAGGGGATTTCAAGAGGAATTGAGAAAGATCCTGAGATGAACAGCAAAATATGGGTGGATCCGTGTGTGTTCTCAGGTGGCAGAAACTCTTACCAGTGTTTGGTTCAGCGTGTGACCTGCTGTACTGTGGGACATCATAGCAGTCTCAGGGTAGAAGTCACAGTGAAGAGCAGGACCTTAGAACCGCTCCCTTCTCGCTCTAATGCAGCTCCTGCTGGTGGGGACCAGACTGTTTATCCTAGCAGACATGTACAGCTAGGTGAGGCTGGGGCAGTCCACCTGAGACTCATCCTTCTGACAAGGGACTACGTTTCATAGACTATTGAATTTTTCCCCCAAGATTTTTTATGTGCGTGCTTTGCCTGCATGTGCCCTTGGAGGCCAGAAGAGGGCACCAGATCTCCTGGAACTGGAGTTACAAACAGTTGTAAATGTATGAGTGAACTTGGTACTGAACCTGGGTCCTCAGCAAGAGCAGCAAGTGCTCTTAACCACTGAGTTATCTCTCCAGCCTAACTTCAGTGCATATTGATAGCTGTTATTTTAAAAGCCCATGTTTATCAAACAACATGGTTCTTTTATTCCCCCAGCTCCAAAAAGCCGGCTCCAAAACCGCCTACTGTTCCATCTGGCTCACAAGGTAATGATGTTCTCATTCCATATTTCTTGCTTTAAAGACATTTTTTCTCTCTTCCCTTTGCCAACAGAGGTGGAAATACTTAATTACAATTTTCTGTTAATATTGCTAAATTGTTTTACAGAAAGCTAATTAAGTCACAAACAAGTAGCATATAAAATATATTTGGTACATTTAAATTTTTCACAACATAATTGTTACCATTATTTTACAGATTTAAGAATTAAACCCAGGGCCTTGTGCATGTTATGTATGTGCTCTGCCACTGAGCTAGATCCAGAGCTCTTAGCTTTTGAGATATGGTCTTGCTCTGTTGTACAGGCTGGCATAAAAGTTGCTGCATAGCTCAGGATGACCTCAAACACACAAGCTTCCTGTCTCAGCCTCCCAACTGCCAGGGTTAAAGGGACATCCCACCACACCCAGGCCTGTAACTGCCATCTCACTGTTCTATTTTTATTTGTCCCAGATGATCAAAATTCCATCTTCTTTTTCTCTTGTATCCTTTTTGCACTGATTTTTAAAGGTTCCATGTGTGCCCTCTGCTAGCTTGTTGTTATGCATACTTTTAGTAGTACTTTAGAGGTTATTATAGCTTATGTCCTTTACATAGTGAAGGCTTTTTGGTTGTTGAGGGTTTTGTTTTGTTTTGCTATTCATTCCTTGTAGTATTTCAATACTATGTACCTATGCAGACAGTTTCATGTGTCACAGGTAAACGCTTACAGTACTCTTTAGTTTTTGAGGAGATTTCTTACTAATTTTTCTGCAGTCATGTCTAATCATATATTAAATCCATCCATGTACTTAGTTCTTAATTTCACCTGTTGTGGTCTTTTCCAGAATTTATATTTTAATTTTTAACATTTTAAAAATTTTTACTAAAACATCCTAATTTCAGTGCATATCGATGGCTGTTATTTTAAAACCTAGGTCTAAGAATTGTCCTAGTTTTTTCCCTGACTGCTGACTTTTGGTCTAATACTCCTATTTCTTACATGCATGGTCATATCACGTTGAATTCTGGCTACTATAGATGAAAACAACGTGAAGATAATGTGAGGTTCTAGATAGTTTTCCATCTTCCACAGAGGATTTCCTTTTGCATCTGGCAGGGACATGAGACAGGAGCCAATGGTCTGCCTGCTGCCAGCGGAATCAGCCATTTAAGCTGGTTGCTAGCTGTTCTGAGAGCTGGTGACTTTCCACTTTGCTCCCTTACTAGGTCACCCTCCTGGACTCCACACTTAGAGCCTCTAGTGTCTATCTATCAGGCCCGACGACTCCCACAAGCTGTACTTAGCTTTTGGCAACTCAGTCACCACTTAAGAACTAACCAGAGTCCTTAACAGATAAATGTTGCTGGTCTTATCTTGGTGGGTACCTTACATCTTGTCCTTTCCATCTCTTTGGGATCTTAGTATCACAGGTCTTTCTTAAGTTTGTAACTTTAATGCTTCCATATAGATTTCTAGTGGCTTTCAAACGTCTGTTTGTTCTTACTGAAAGGACTATGCTCCAGCAAGTCCACTATTATTAGAAATGGAAGTATTCAATTTGATTTCAAAAAATACTTTGTTTTTTCTTATTATACAAAAATAAGATATTTTCATTACATTTTTTTAGAAAAAGTTGTGTTTTTTTTACATGTATTTACTTATACAGTGTTCTGCCTGCATGCCAGAAGAGGGAGCCAAATCTCATTATAGACAGTTGTGAGCCACCATGCAGTTGCTGGGAATTGAACTCAGGACCTCTGGAAGAACAGTCAGTGCTCTCAACCTCTGAGCTATCTCTCTAGTCCCTAAAAATAGTTTTTTAAAAAAATATACATATACACAATAGTGAACATTTCCTGTTCTCTTCTAGGCATTTTTCTCTTATTGTTATTTATCATTGTTATTACTATTGCTACTACTACTATTAGTATTTAATTCTATGTGTTATGGGTGTTTTTACCTGCGTGTATGCCTAAGCACCATCTAGTACCCAAGGAGACCAGAAGAAGGTGCTAGATCCTCTGGGGCTAGAGTTACAAAAGGCCACTAGGTTACAAGTTACAAAAGCTACTAGGTAGGTCTGTGGAACCAAACTCAGGTCCTCCGATAGAGCAGCACGTGCTCTTGACCACCAAGGCATCTTTCCAGATCTTCTCATCCAGTCTTACAAGTTCGTTGTTCCATTTTCTCTCTCCGCCCTTCAGCTCCCCTGTCGTTAGAGCTGGGGGTCAAACTGAGGGCGTCGTGCGTGTTGAGCATGGACTCTGCCACTGAGCTATACCACCGGCCCCATATCTTTCTGGAAATGTAAATTATTTTATTTTATCAAATTTAGATCACACTATTTGTGTATGTATTGTCCTTAAGTCCAGATTTTCCATTCAAAAGTATATTATCTTTTTTCATGTCACAAGAAGAGGTAAATGGTAGTTCGTGGGCTGTGAAATCTTTCTAAAACAGTTTCCCAATTGTCTTTTTTTTTTTAAAATACGGTGTGTCATATACACACTTTGATCTCTAGGTTCTCTTGAGAATTCTGAATGTTTCTCATGTGACATGTTGACTGATGCTGAGAGATCCTCCTTGGCAGGTTTAGCTGGGCACTGTCTGCAGACCTTTCACTTGGACCCTCACTTACTGTCATCACTGCCCCTTCTAATAGACAGAAATGCCACAGCTCTCCCATCACTTCCCTTTGTGAATAGACAGAAATGCCACAGCTCTCCCGTCACTCCCCTCTGTGAATAGACAGAAGTGCCACAGCTCTCCCGTCACTCCCCTTTGTGAATAGACAGAAGTGCCACAGCTCTCCCATCACTTCCCTTTGTGAATAGACAGAAGTGCCACAGCTCTCCTGTCACTTCCCTTTGTCGCTTATTTGGATGTTTTCCAATTTTCAGGTCTAAAGAAAGATTAACTTGCTGGGTGGTCGTGGCATACACCTTTAATCTCAGCAATCAGGAGGTAGAGGCAGGGGGATCTCCTACAGAGCGAGTTCCAGGACAGCCAAGGCTACACAGAGAAACCATGTCTCAGAAAGGAAGAGAGAGAGAGAGAGAGAGAGAGAGAGAGAGAGAGAGAGAGAGAGAGGGAGGGAGGAGG